AGGTCCTCGGAAGTGAATTTAGTAGCCTATGATTCGTTTAAAATTGAGAAATTCCAAATAATAATCACTCGTATATGTCGTCAATTTATCAATCGGTTTTGTTTTCGTGGTTTTTCCAAATAAAGACGTTTTCGTGGAAACTAACAATTGAATCGATAACATTTGGAGGTGGTATTTCCTTTGATAAAACAAAATTTATTTATCACACTGAAATTCCAACTTTAACGCCGTCTGCTGTCGTTGTACGACCGTCTGACAAAAATATTTTTGAATTCTACATTAAATTAATTCTTATTTGACTGATTAAAATCTCATATTCCTTAGTTACATTTTATCGGAAATTTAAATAACTTTTGAGTGCATCTGCACTAAAATGTTGACAACAAAAATGCGTCTGCCGTAGTGATTTTGTATACTTAATAGTTTTTGAACATTAATATCAAAAGTATGGGTTTGTTCCAATGCTTATATATTTTGCATTTTTACCTCTTTTCAAGTGCCGTTCCCGCAATTAGTTGACCACTTAGATCCGGCAGACGGATAGTTTTGTTTTTAATATAAAGAGTTTTTATTCCAAAGAGACAAAAATTTTTTCCCGATGGTTATGTATTTTGCACGCGGCCTCTTGATCTATAATGGTACAGGAGAACGTGGTAATATGGAACCCTGCTGGTAATATGGACCCTTGGTTAATTCTGAACCGGTAGTGAGATCTACTTTTAAAATAGCTGAATTTCAATTGTCAGTCATAGATGAAGCGTGTAGGAAACTGTAGCACATACCGGCAAAACAGAAATCCAACAGTGGCAGTTTAGATGTAGACAAGTAAACCAAAAAAATTTTTTGATGCAAGTTCGTTTCAAGGTAAAAGTGATTTACATGCAATATTTTGTTGTTTGGTTGTGGTGTCACGCTACCACAAGATTTTTTTGTGACAACGTAATAGGTAAGTTTACATTTCATATGCTTCAGAAAATTTTGCTAAGCTATTTATTGACACATGTGATTTGATAATATGGAACCCCCAGGGTGATTGTAATAAGGAACAGGTTTCCATTTTATATACAAGGGTTCCATATTAAAAACAAAATTTAAGGATGTATTAAATTGCAGGTGCTGATATGCCTCGCAGGTTACCATCACCGAAAACCAAATCCAAAAGGAAAACCTGGGACAAGAATGCTATGACTGAAGCTGTTAAATTGGTTCGTGCTAAGACAATTGGGCTCAAGAAAGCTGTGAATAGGTTTACCGTGCCGAAAACAACACTCCACGATGAAGCATATACAATAGAGGAAGTTGTCGAAAGAAAGCTGGGTAGGAAACCAGTCCTACCCATACACATTGAAAATGATTTAGTGAAATATTTGCTTTTGATGGAGAGCAAATATTACGGTCGTGCTTGGTAGGACCATTTCTTACTGCGTCATAAAGATGCACTGTCTGTTCGTAAACCTACTGGAACTTCTTACGCCAGAGCCAACAGCTTCAATAAAGAATCAGTCAGTACATTTTTTGATATTCATGAGATGGAATATCACCGGAAAAAATATGAGCCAGACCGTATTTTCAATGTGGATGGGACGGGTTTTTCCATAGTACAAAGCAAAATACCTAAGATCATAGGGTTAAAAGGCAAACGACAAATCGGTTTTGATGTATGAGTGCAGGGGGTACATTCATACCTCCTATGATGATTTTTCCCCGGAAAAATATGGCAAACTCTTATTCCCCTCATCCTCCTCATTCTCCTCATCCTCCTCATCATCATCCTCCTCATCCTCCTATGACTGAAACTCTTATGCGTGGGGCACCTGCCGGAACTTTGGGTAGATTCATCCTTCGGGCTGGGTACAAACTAACTTGTTCACTGACTGGTTTAAGCACTTCATAAAATATACTAAATCTTCGGAAGAAGTAATACTTCTTTTGGACGGGCATTACTCGCATACGCGATATATTGAAATTATAGACCTGCAAGAGAAAACTACATTACCATAATCTGCCTTACTCCTCATGCCACACATAGACTGCTGCCCTTGGATAAAACCTTTATGGAGGCATTGAGGAGTCATTACAGTGAAGCAATTCGAATATGGCAGCGTCACAGTGAACGTGCTTCGGGACCTTATGATATTGCTGAACTTTTTGGGAAAGCCTATGTAAACTGTCAAACAGCAAGCATAGCAATAAATGGTTTTTCGAGAGCAGGGATATACCCTTGCAATAGAGGAGTTTTCACGGAGACAGATTTCATCGCTGCTGAGCACGACGCCTTAACTGAGACTTCCAGCTAACCCTGTTTTCTCTCGAATTGCAGCTAGAAATTCGCTTCAAACAGGTACCCACAACTTTCAGGTCAGCGAAATTGATCTGACAGAAGCAGGATGCAGTTCCAACTGCAGATGTGAGATCAAATACACCACATACCCTCGTTTCACCTGCAGAAATTTTACCAGTTCCGCAACCGATGAAAAAAATGTCAAACAGAGGACGGAAAGCTTCTTCTGTTGCAGTTTTAGCCAGCTCCCCTTACAAAACAGAATTGGAGACATCAATCACTAAATCTGATGGGCGAAAAAAGATCTCTAGTCTTCGCTTAGGGAAGCGGTACTGTTGCTAGAAAATGTCGCGGGAGTCACCAATTCCAACTGTGGGCTTAAGAGATCAAAAATCTGCACAGACCTTGGAAGTTGCCGTAAAACATCAAAGAAACAACCTGCTGAATCGTCCGACTCTAATCAAAATGGTCTTAACAGTGTTTCTTCAGGTTCTTCCAATGATATGAGCATTCCACCTGGAAAAATTCCATCAGCAGAGGACGACGCAGTGTGCATATTTTGTGACCAGATGTTTTCTAAAGACGTACGAGGCGAACTGTGGATGCAGTGCATAATGTGCCTCTTATGGGCACATAGCGAGTGTTCTGATGGGTGTGACAAAGATGCCTACATCTGTGACTTATGTCGATCGTAATGAATTTTTTCAGTTTTTATATATTTTTTATGTCAATAATGCATTTTTAAATAAAGGAATTTTTTTTTAAGGGGGTCCGTATTACCAGCCTAGTTCATCGAAGGTCGATTTTGAGATAACTACGTGTAACATGTAAAATATCGCTATAATTCTAAATTCGTTCTAATATACCCAAAACAAATATGTTTAGAACCTAGTTGTACAAAATGTATATGTATAATCATAAAAATTTTCGGTTTATAGAAGGAAAACAAACTGCAGTTCCATATTACCACCTTCTCCTCTAATTTTGAGAACATCTCAGAATAAAGAAATGTCTTTTAATTGTTATCTCTTCTAAACACTTCATTTGGCATAGAACAAAATTATTTAAGAAGAGGTTGAGTGGTGTGTACACACTGGGTAATAAGAAATACTCTCGATTCATTTCTTAAAATTATTTAAGTGGATGGTTCCTAGTTCCTAGATAGTGGTCAAATATAAAGAGGCTGGTGAGGTGCTTTGAAATGCTGAAATAGTGAAAAGCATCCAAATAAATATAATGCAAACTATCATTTTTAGGTGATACCCGATTCTGGTAGACGATGTGACTTTCAAAACAAAATGCATTTTTTTAATGAAATGGATAAACATCCACATTAGAAGAGCATAATTCAACAAGGTAGCGCTACTAGCTCAATTTTAAAAAAGTGGGGAATGTGATTTTTGCATCTATAGTATTGAAAATAAAATATTTACCATATGAGCCTCGAGCCGAACACACGCAATTACAATACATGATGTTAGGGTGTGTAATTTTTGAGCAACCCTTTCTTTTCAACTAAAAAACAGGCTAAAAACTATCAGGAAGGTGAAAAAAAGGCTCTAAAAATTTGAGCTCTTAATATTAACATTTAGTGGTGCCTGTTCCTAACTTTTCATTTTCCATTTAAATAACATTGAAACATTTTTTTTCAAGACATTTGAGCATTGTAAAAATGAAAAATAATATAGTTTAGGTAAAATTATAAAAAATAAAGAAATATTAAAAATTCAACACAATAGCAAATTAATGGTTTTATTTAATCTATAATTGAACAAATTTATTGAACACAAATAACTTTTTTTTGATAGTAAATAAAATAAAACGAAAAAACAAAAAAAATTATCGAGATGTGTTATTTTCTTTCTATAAGAAAATAATTATTTTTTCTAGAAAATAATTTTTAAGACAAAAAAGTCATCAGTATTAGTTTAATCAAATAAAAGTAATAATTTCATACATTGGACTTTAAGTTTGAAAATCTTCAGAACAGCTTCACTCTATGAAAAAATAAATTAGAACTTTTTTGTACAGCGTTCAATTTCCTACCAAAATAATTTTTCAGTTCATTTTTACAAAGATAAAATATCAAGCTACAAAAATAAGACAAAAGCAAAATTTTGTTTCCATGTTATTTAAATGGAAAGTTAGGAATAGGCACCACTTAATGTTAATATTAAGAGCTCAAATTTTTAGACGCTTTTTTTTCACCTTCCTGAAAGTTTTTAGCCTGTTTTTTAGTTGAAAAAAAAAAGTTCCTCAAAAATAACACACCCTAATGTTCATGTAATAAGAAAGAACGATCTAAGTGTGCAAACGAGTCCAATCCTCTCGATCTGCGACTATAGACTATTTTGAAATTTTCATTATAAAACCACAAATATAATTTTTATAACTCACAACCATCTTTCAATCCATTTTTAAAAATGTAATACCATATAACAAAAACATCAAGTGATCAATAAAACGTAGGGAAAAAAATTAAATTAAAAATATAGTGATACCAATATTTCTTAAAAGGATGTGTTTGGTGAATGTGTTAAAATTTTAAATTTAGTTTTAAAAATTATTAATATTGTCACTATTTATAAATAATAAAGCTGAGTATGAACTAAAAATAAATATTTGATGTTAGTTTTACGAATGAATGTAAACAAAATCTGAACAAAATTTATTGACTTTTCCTTTAATTCAAGAGTATTATTTTACGATTTGGAATGCCAATATATCCAAAATAAAATTTGAAAAACTTGATTAATTTATTGAAAACTATATTAAAATATTTAGTCTATACATTTCTAAATTTATCCACACTGATAGACCATAGATATAAATATTCAAACGATTTAAAATGTCTATTCATCACCTGAACTGACACAGCAAGAACTCCTATGTTCGGAATGTTTTTTCCTCAAATCTACAGTGTCATTGATGATAGGATCTATCTTATCGGCTCTAGATTCAAGCCTCAGCCAATACTGAACTGCCATCTTGAAAGCCTCTTGTACATTACTGGCATTTTTCGCAGACGTTTCTATACAGGATGTTATTGAGTTTTCATTACACCATGTTTCCATTTCCAACTGAGGTACCTCCCGTTCATCTGCTGTGACGTCAGACTGAAATGCAAAATTTTGTCAAAACTGTGATGTCTTGAATTAATACTTTTTTTATATTTTTAATGATTTATGTAGAATGTGGAAAATACAATATTTGTTTATAAGAGCCTTATATTTTACCTTATTCCCCACTACAATGAAAGGAAACTGAGAATTTTCCTTGATATCGGCATAGTGCAAAAATTCACTTTTCCACATCTGGATATTCTTAAAACTTGATTTATCATCAATGGCATAAGTTAACATACATATATCACTACCTCTATAGAATGGTGTTCTCAAAGTTTTGAAACGTTCCTGTCCAGCAGTATCCCAAATCTAAAAAGAAAAGAAAAATTTCAAAATACATTTTTAATATTTTATGTAGGGAATGGGTGGTTAGGGTCTAGACTTTCAGATCCAAGAGTCCAGGGTGCTAACTTGTGCCAAGGTATTTTCTAATTTCTGGCTAATAGCGTTTCCGTGGTGCTTTTATAAGTGAGTCCGAAGGAGTGAAAAGCGTTCTTGAAAGTCATTAGCTAAAAAGAGATGTCGCACGTTAATACATCCCTGAAACGTAGTGAAACAATCATAATAAATATAGTTTAAAAAAACTAAAAAACACGTTTTTGGAGCATATCAAACTAAAAAGTTAAAAATAATTTTTCAAATAAGCTTAAAACAATAATAAATGGAAAATACTAGTATTATTATGAAAAAATCGTGGGACGCTTTGTCCATATTTCTCGTACATTGAGCGCCCGACGCTCAATATTTATTTTTTACTTTTTAGTTCGATTAATTATTAAAAAAAAATTTGTAAGTTGAAATTGCTGAAAAAAAAAACAATTATTTTTTTTCAGCCGTGGACGGGATTAGAACCCACGATCGGTGAGTCTGGCGATCGACGATCCGCGCCTTAGACGAACGAACTTGAGGTAGTGGGATATACTTACAGTAATAAGCCACTTGCTTTTAGTCCAAAGGAGAGTTACAAACATACATTCATACAGGTGAAGCTAAGAAAAGCGTGTTAAAAATCACTTAAATCAGCTTAGTTTGCGCAACGTACACAGTGACGTCACAAAGTAGGGTGGGGCATACGAACTTTTTAATCGTTGATATAAAATAAAGAGGAGATGCTATGACGATACTAAAAGTGTCCGCACAGTTTTACGTCATATGTCAAACTCGAGCAAGTCACTATTAAACTTAAAAAAAACAAAGGAGGATTTAGTTTCAGTTGATACGTCGAGAAGAGTACTTTGTCCACGTCACTGAAGATGGCTGACGCAGTTGCAGCTGAAACGTTTGGTAATAATAACCAAGAAAGGCCACGGCATAACAGCCCGGAAACAAATAATTACGATACTAAAAGTGTCCGCATTTTTGCATTACACTTTTACGTCATATATCAAACTCGAGCTAGCGTAACTAATCAGTTTTGGCGAGAATAAATGCCATTTTTTTTTAAATAACATGACTTAAATGATATAAAAACATTTTCATTCAGTCAATCTTCAAATATAAAATTATTAACGTCAAATTAATAAAAATACGACTCAAAGTGCGTTCTCTTGTCATATCGCAAAATAGTGTTTATTTCCTCTCTACATTATTTTAGCTCGATGTTTCCAATCAAGCTGTCAAACTCTAATATTCACCATAAGTCAATTTTAATTGTGTTTATTTAAAAACCGTGTTTAAATAAAACGGCGAATTTAATAAATCTGAAGTATGTGTGTCAATTCAATGATTGTTAACAAAACACGTCTCCAAGCTCCATATACTATTATTTTTGAGGTTATGTTTGTATTTTTTTCCAGTTTCTACAAAATAGTCATGTGTTTTATACGCAACTCTAAAACAGATAGCTGCGTAAATGGATATAATGTCATCGGTACTCTTTTATAGGAAAACCATCCAAATTAAGCGATAACCGAGTTTCATCAAGAAATGGGCACTTATGGCAATGATATAAAATACCTAACTTTAAACAATCTTAGATTGCAGTTGTCAGCCAAGAAAAATCATTATAAATTGACCAGAAGGTATTTCACAAGTATGACAATTTTATTATACATATTATTCGAACAAGAATAATTTCTTGACCCTAGTACAATTTTGCATGAATAATTGTTTTATTTTGTAGGTTGTCCCTAATGAATTTGAAGTTATAGAAAAATATATATCTATAAATGCTAGAGGTACTGATAAATATGGTCAGACTGATGTAGCTGTGATGATTTAACTCGAATGATGGTGTATGCATTTACAAAAAAATGGAAGATAAACTTAGTTATAGTTTTTTTAAAGACCATTAAAAAAATAAATATTGAACTTGGCTAAATTAATTCAAGAAACTAAATAGTTGTGTCTATGTTAGGTATGTACCTATATTATGAAGACTTAATTAAAGAGTTACCGATATCAGTACCTGGGATGTAAACTGTCGTACTATTTATAGAGGCATGTTGGAGATATATGATACAATATCATAGAAAAATTGTTATCAGAACATAGAAATATGTTTCAAAACTAACAAGTCATGTATATTAAAAAAAAGTTTTAATAGTTAGATTATTAGTAAACAATACATATTGTGGCAATAATTGAGGCTAACTTCATTTCTTGTCGAAATATAATTGATATATGTAAATATGAAATACAAAAGTATCCAAATAAAATTTAGTCTGTTATTGTTATACTCTTCACACAGTAGTCTGTAAAGAGTATTATAGGTTTACTTTGTCCGATGTCACGTTTTCTGTCTGTACTGCGACGATAGTCTAATTTATTTATAGTTTATTTATTTAAAACATACTATTTACAATTTATTTCAGACGTACTAATTAATTTATATATTACTTAGACACTAACAATTCTAATTTATTTATTACACTTTAAATTTTCATTACAATGTTCTGTACTAAACTAAACTAAACTGTGCGTCGATGAGTCGGCTATTTATACCAAGCCAATTCTGTGCTCGTCGTTTCTGGGAGCTTCCGAAAATTCCATCACTATGACTCAACGGCAATTTCTCGAAGCGTCAGCAGCATACCTAGATTGCGTCGTTTCTTGTATATTCGAGACGCGGTCCGACTGTTTTCACATGTCAGCGTTGCTTCTATCATGAATCGAGTGGCAGACTTCCAAGGTCGCTCGCTTTAGAGTTTAGACAGAGACGGCTTAGGAATTTTCATGACATTGCCCCTCCTTAAGAAATAGTTCCTCCTGGAACTAAAACTGAAATGGTTGTATTTGCAACTGGATCCTCTTTTACAAATTCCAGTTGCATGGAAGTAACAAGGGACAGTTTTCGCTATAACCTGAAAGCTGGGAGAATGGCTGCAGACCAGTATTTTAAACTGGGTATCTTGGAAGATTACTTCCACCATGTTTCTAATGATCCTCCAATTCAGCTGGTTGCTATCTATCTTTGGCATAGCTAGTTTCTGTATATTGGACTCCATTACATGCTCCCTCAGAATGAGTAATGCTTCCCATACATCATGATAGGCGGATCGATCTCGGAAGGTGTTCTTATAGAATAGAATAGAAAATAGAAATAGAATAGAAAAGATAACGCGATCCATCTTGAGGTTTTAATGCTTTTCCAGGAGCTGGTAACTGATCTTCAGGTTCTGGCAATCGACCAAACTTCTTCCGGAATACAGATGCCAGACCTCGAGCGTCGTAGATGTTGGTAGAACTGCTATGGACCAGCGAGTAGTCTTTTGGAACCGTGAGCAGGTCTTGTTGTTGTTCGGTTGTAACTCCATGTCTTGCTCTTCCGGTACCTCCATATGCACCCATAAATTCTTCAAAGACAGGGTCAAGTGTTTTTTGGAGCTGGTTTACTTCTTCAGCCGGTTTTGGTGCACTACCTTTGGTTTACCGTTCGGGATCTTACTTATACGATAAATGACATCATTGATTTTTTTTCTTGATGAGGTACGGACCTTCCCAAGACCTTTGGAGCTTTGGAGAATAACCCTTTTGTCTTTTTGGGTTATGGAGCCAGACTTTGTCGCCTTCCTTGAAACATCCTTCTGTGGATTGGGTATCGTATCGCTTCTTCATTCTGTCACTGGCGATTTGAAGATGCGAGCATACCAATTCATGCATATCGTCCATTCTTCTTCGTAACTGGATCACATAATCTTCACCAGCTACATCTTCTCCAGGTCGGCATCCAAACTCGAGGTCGCACGGTAGTCTCATATCACGCCCAAACAGGACCTTTGCTGGTGTTTGACCTGTTGATTCATTGACAGCGGATCTATAAGCCAGTGCAAAGAGCGATATATACTGATCCCAATCTCGCTGATGGTTTGAAACCACTTTTGACAGATATTTTCCAATGGTCTTATTCATTCGCTCTACCATTCCATCGGATTGTGGGTGCAATGCTGTGGTTCTGGTTTTCTTCATGCCTAGACTGTCACAGATTCCACGGAAGAGTTGACTTTCAAAATTTCTGCCTTGGTCACTGTGGATCTCCAAGTGCACTCCAAATCGACAAATAAACTCTTTTATCAACACATCTGTAACAGTTGCGGCCTCTTGATTTGGAATGGCGTAGACTTCCACCCACTTCGTGAAATAATTTATAACCACCATCATGTATTTATTACCATTCTCGGTCATTGGGGATGGTCCATCAATATCTAAGGCGATCCTCTCAAATGGGCTACCAACGTTGTATTGCATCATGGGAGCCTTCCTTTTTTCGCTGAGGTCCATAACTCATAGCACAGCTGGTACATTTCTTACACCAGTTCTTTAAATCCTAAATTAAAAATAACAACATGAAATTTTTGGCATACATCAAAAAAAAAAATCAAAAATGAAAAGCGAAATAAACAAAATGTTTAGTAAAAATCAAGCTCTATAAGGAGATGTGGCCTATTGATTGTGAAAAAAATCTGAATGAAAATGGGAGTTAAGGGAGGGGGATGTTGTTAAACTGTGGAGAGTATAATTTAGAATGCCACGCATTATACAGTGCGTCCATAAAGTAACGCATAAATTCATTATTGGCTAAATGAACAATAAAATTAGGAATTCCCAAAACAGGTAGATTTTTGATTTCAATTTACTATTGTTTCAAATCATAATCTAATATACAGGGTGAACCACTTTCGTGTAATGACGTCATCACCATTTTTTTCAAATGGAACCCCCCTTTTTTTTCAATTTCCAAATTGCCTTTGCTGAGCTGATTCCAAAAATGTATAATATGTTGCTTCAAATTGGTACAGGGTGGGCAAAAATGCAAAAATTTACTTACAAAGTAATGAAAATAACGAATAAACGTAATAAACACATTAAAT